GGGACGACTGTATTACTAGTCATGAAATTAAGTCTATAAATTACATTATTCATATATTATTATTAAAATACAAAAGGATGTTAAATCCGAATTGCTAAAGTTAAGTATAAAGTATATGTGCCAAATCGGAGGCCTGGAATTGAATTCATAAAGTGGGTTGCCATCAATAGAGATTTATCTAATAAATCTGCTTGAATTCTATCATTATTGAGCCCGTGTGAATTTCAACAATAACATCTGCGATGCTAAATGAATTTCAATATTAAATATTCATGAACTCGAATAGATACTTAGATTGATAAGCATTCTTTATTCTCACATACTTTATACTAAATAAAAATATTTAAAACAGATGACGTTCATAATGTAAATTGTTGTTATAATCCATGGCCCAGTTGGTAAATCTTATTCTTATGGGTATAATCACTAGTTTAAACCGTGTGTAAGACAAGAAGCCCAAACGTAATTTGCAGGAGGTGAAGGATCTATAAAGGACGGTGGAACGCACGATGATCCAATAGTACCAGGTGCAACCAAAAATGCATCCCACTGACGTCTATGCATATAGCGTTAGCGAATTACACAGTTACATGCGTAAGGCCTTACATCGAATGAAAAAAAGAGTAATTTTTACCTAATTGAGATAAGGGTATCAATATCAAATTCCGCTTGATGCCAATATTCATAAACAGGATCTCTTTCTTTTTCTCGCTCTTTCATTCCAACATCCATAGCTTCATTTCTTTTGTGTTCAGCCGCAGCATTCCTTTCTTGATCCAATCGCGCTTCCTCAATTTTCATTACATCGTTCAACGATGCAATCTTATTAAAGAATTCATCATCTTCCTCGGGGAAAAAGTGCCCTATTAATGAAAAATTTTGCAAAATTAATACCTTCTTAATAAACTTACGGTTCAATTTTATATAATGACCTTCTCGTTTTAATCGTTCCCTACGTAGATCTCGCAATTTCTTAACCTTTTCAAGCAGTTTTGAAAGTTCTCTATGTTTGCTTCTGTTTGCCTCAGCCTCTTGCACTCGTTTTTCGGCTTCCCTCCTTCTAGCTTGTTCCTACGATATCTTTAATGAGGATGGATTGCACGTTTCATGTAATATAATTTCCCATTCACTCACACGTTTGAGTGCCAGCTCTTTTGCGATCCACTCAGTCCGCCAT